CCCCAGACATCAGGTCCTCACCCTGCTGCGTGATGGCTCTGGGGGGAGCTGGGGATCTTCTGGTGGGGGGGAAAAGGGCTGCTCAGCAACCACTGTGGAACCAGTGGGCTGGCCCTGACCCAATGATGCCTGTGCCTGCCTCCTCCTCCTCTTCCTCCTCTTCCTCCTCTTCCCTGCTGCTGCGAGGGTCTGACGTGCCTCCCCCAGCTCCAGCACAGCATGGGCGGGTGCAAGCAGCTACTGGCACAATCCATAACTTTTCCCTGCCTTCCTGGCGCTGGAATGTGCTCAAGGGGAGCAGGATGAGTACCCAGAGCTCACCCACTGCCCTGCAGCAGGGCTGGGGGTCCCAGCCTGAGCCACCCTCCTGGCACACCGTGACCGTGATGGCCACTCCACGTGTCCTCCCTGAGAGGGACCAGCCAGGAGCCCCGGCCCCAGCAGCTCCCCGTCCCTCCAGGGTTACCCGTGTGGGGATGGGGCTTCCATGCAGACGACGCCCCAATCCCCCTCCTTGTCCCTACAGGTTGGGCAGCAACAGCGGGTGCTGCCAGTGGAGGTGAAAGCTCCTCGGTCTCTCTCCAGCTCGTGGCAGAGCGCGGGACCCAGCGCAGAGTGAGGAGGGACCCGCTCTCATCCCGATCCATTATTGCGGGCAGCGCTGGCGGGCGCCCGGGGCAGGGGCTGCATTATTGACGAGGGGGAAAGCAGGCCGGGGCGCAGGCAGGGACCCTCCTGCAGGGCTCAGCCCCGGGCAAAGCACTTCGCCTGCGCCGCAGAGCCGCAGAGCTGCCGGGCCTGGCCCGGGGCAGCGGCCGCAGCCGCCACCGCAGCCGGGCCGTGCGGTCCGGAGCATCGCCCGCGCCCGGGATGGTGCCGGGCTCGGGGCTCCCCTCGGAGCACCCCGGGGAGGGTGGCACGGGCGGGCAGCAGTGCCCTTGTGAACCCCGCGCTGGCACCGGTGCTGCCGCTCTGCCCCCCTCCAGCCCGGCGCAGCGCTGGTGCTGCTCTTTTTTAAGCCTCCCTCTGCCTCTCGGCGGAGATTTGTGGCGTAAAATGCACAATATGTTCTATCTGCCCTGTGGGAGCCATAAAATATTCACCAGCAGCTCCCATTATAGTCAGAGTGAATCACAGGGAGCGCTCCAGCCCTCGCTCCCGACGTGCCCCCTCCCCGTGCAGCCCCGGCAAAGCCTCGGGGCCCCGGCCGTGCCGGTGCCGGGGCATGAGGAGCAGCCAGTGCCGGCAAGGACCCCCATTCCCACCTCCATCCCCCAGAGACACCAGGGGATCGGCGGGTCGAGGGCTGGTGACTGCACTGATGGGATGGCAGCTTACAGAATCACGGAATGGTTTGAGCTGGAAGGGTCCATCTTGTCCCACCCCCTGCCATGGGCAGGGACACCTCCAGCTAATCAGGCCTTGGACACTTCCAGGGATGGAGCATGGGCAGCGTCTGGCTGCCCGTGCCAAGGCCTCACCACCCTTCACCTTCACCTGCCTGAACACCCTCCTGGGTGCCCAGGGAGGAGCAGCACCAGCCCCGTGAGTGGGGGGGACCAGGATGGTGGCAGAAGCAGTGGGGTGGGCTCACCTGCCTGTCCTGGCTGCCCTGTCCCACCACACACGGGCTGGTGTGTGGACATCCCCAGCGTGACCTGTGCTGTCACTTGGCTTTTTGCAGCCACAGCCCCCTAAGGGAGGTGCCACAGCCGTGCCAGGGTGGTGGGACGGCCCCTGCCTGTTCCTTGACTGCTGTCACACCTGTGTCTCACTGCTCTGCACATGGCTTGGTACCTCAGCACTCCTCGGCTTCCACCTCCCCCCTATGTCCTGCTGTCCAGCATTCCCTTCCATCCATCCTTCCTTTGACCCACTGTCCATCCCCACTGGTTCCCACTGCCCACCCCCACCTCCCCCTTTCAAGCTCAGACTCCAGACTTACAGAGCCAAGGGATGACAAATTTCCCGATTAAATGACACCCTGCTCCGGAGCTGATGTGTCAAACACAATTTTCTCTGTTGCCACACAATTATATGTAATTATAAAGCTGTTAATGCTGCCTCTGCCCTTGGGAATCGGGCCCAATTAGGGTTGGATTTCACCTCCACCCCTTCCACGGCCACACTGCAGCTCAGTCCCGTGTGCTCAGGGCTCCCCACAGCGTCCCAGGCAGCATCATTGCCATCCACTGCCACCCACGCACCTGCTCCTGGGACATGTGTCCCCTCCACGCACCGGCTCGCACGAGTGTCCCCGGCTGCACCGGGCACTGCCACGCCAAGCTCCGGCACAGCAGGATTTGCCCCGGTGTGTTGGGTGGCACAGGGCTCACCGGGACACGGCTGCAGAGAGCCGTGGCAAGGCAGGACACGGTCACCCACCTGGGCCGGTCATCACGACAAGCGCCACCACCAGGTCACGGGGCTGAGATTTTCCCGGCGTGTCCTTGGCTCTGAGCGGGCTCAGAGCGGGATGGGGGCACCGCGGTCACACGTGGGGTCACCCCGTGGTGGCCGCACGACCCACCGGGATAGCCGGGAGGGAGCAGGGCCCAGGCAGCAGCTTCCCACGGCGACCGCGAGGGTTAAACCCGGCTCCTCTCCCTGAACAGACTGAGGGAGAGGAGGGAGCGTGGCAGTGCCCTCCCCGCCAAAATTAACTCTCCATCTGTTTCTCCCCGGCTGAGGCTGATGGCTTGTGACAGGGCCTCCTGAATGCAAAGATGTTTCGCCCGGAAAAATCTATTACAAGTCGCTGTAAGAAAGACCGAAATCCTCTCCTTCTGTCTCTCCCTACTGGTCTCAAGGTGCCCACCCGGGGCGAGCGCGGGCTGGCACACAGCCGGCCGCCTCCGCTCAGCCGGAAAGCTCTGCCCGCGCCAGCCGGGCTCGCCGCCGGACAAACGGCACGGCAGGGAGCCGGGTGCTGCCCTGGTGCTGCTGGGGAGGAGGGAGAGCTGCTCCTTCTGCCCCAGCCCGGCCCCGGTGCCGCTCAGGCAGCGGTCACGGCCATGGCACCATCGCCAGCCCTCGGCCGCGCCGTGGTGCGGGTGGGGAAACTGAGGCAGGAGGGAGGGGAGGGGAGGGGAGGGGAGGGGTGGGGTGGGGAGGGGAGGGGAGCCCGGCCGGGCGGGCGGTGGGTGGGTGCCCTCTCCCGGCCACAGCACAGCCCTGCTCGGCCCTGCCACTTGGTTTACCGAGGATTTCTGGAGTTCGCTTTATTTGCCTCCCTTCCCGTGTCTCCCCACAGCCTTTCTTGGCCCCCGCGCCCCGAAGGGCAGCTAAAAAAATCCTCAAAAATCAAATTCCCACTTTTTTTTGGTGCTCAGCTCTCCCTCCAGCACACTGCCAGATGCTCCATGGAAATGCCTTCAAGATCCTTTGTTTTGACCCTAAAACCTCCCCCCTCATCCGTGCTGTCTGTTCCACAACAAAACCAGGCAGCTTCAGTAAAAAACAAAACTTTATTTGGTCCGTCAGAACCTGAGTTTGAAAACCACCCATGGATAATTCGTATCATACAGGGATTACTGATCTGATTTACAATTGATAAAATATCCTATGATTCTGAAGAGCTGGACAGTATTTACAGGGTTAAAAATATTCACAGCTCAGAAAGACAGAAAGAGAGAGGAGAAAAAAAAGTGAAGGACAAATCATCCCGAGGAGAAAGGAGCTGGAAAGAGAGAAAACAGATCGACAAACAAAAATACAGACAGAGCTTGGCTCAGCAGTCCCAGCTGGGGGGGCCAGGAGGGTGCCAGGGCAGCCCACCCTGTGGGGGACACAGAGGGACAGGCTGGGCAGGGCCCCACACACATCCCTGCCCAGCCCAGCTGCTGGTGCAGGGTTTGGGGTGCAGGGTGCCCCCCAGCACCGTCTCTGCCAGAAGAGGGTCCAGCATTGCCCACCACCCCCCTCAGCTGCAGGTCCACACAGCTTGGGAAGGAGAGGGTACACAGGGGGACCCCCAAAACACACACACATGGACACACACATGGACACACACACACACACACACACACACGTGCCAAGTCAGAGAGCCACGATGCCCTGAAAGCACGGGAGCAGCTCCCACCAGGATCAGCCCCCAGCCCGGAACACCCATGGGACCAGCAGCACCCCAAGGCCCTTACAGCCTTCACCTTGTGCTCACTTGGCCTCTGAAGGAGGGGGCTCTCCACTTTCCCCCCAAGAATCCCCCTCTCCCCAGCACACGGCAACACCAGGGGCCTGCTCCTCACCCCCAGGTCTGTACCTGCTGCCCCTGCAGGGCAGTGCCCAGGGGGCTGAGCCCAGCTCGGGCCATGGCTTCTCTCCAGGCACTGCTTCCACCGGCCGCCTTTGCATAGTAACACTTGTGTGACAGTTGAGGGGGGTCCCTGCTGCCACAGCCCCCACAAGCATCACCCCTTCCCACCCAAAGTCACAGCGGAGGGGGCACCTCTGAGATTCACCCCAATTACAGTGAAACCCCTCAGAGCAGCTTTCTAGAACATCCCCATGCCCTTTCCTCCCCCCCAGCCTGGCACCTGGGACAGGTGGGGGTGGACGGGGAGTCCGGGCACCACAGCGGGTCCCTGGCATGGGCAGCACCATGGCAGGGTGACCCTGGCACCCCCCGGCCCATCCTTGGTGCCACGTTGGTCCTGGGAGGGAACACAGGGGAACGAGACAGCGGGAGGGCCCGGGGACACACGGAGGGTCACACAGACGGACAGACATCAGAGGTATATTCTTCTTTTTGCAGCACCAGCGCCCTGGCGCCGCAGGAAGGGGCAGAGTCCTGAGCGTGGTGCCTGGGAAGGGCTTTGACGGCAACCTCCAGCCCCCACCTTCTCCCACCGCCCCCCGGGGCGGGCAGAGGGCACCGGGCCCAGCGCGAGTTCGGGGCAGGGGGATCCTGAGATGGCCCCGTGCCCCCAGCGCTCCTCCTGAAGCGCGCGGGGGCCGGCAGGGCCCAGCGGGGGCAGCGGGCAGGGCTGGTCCTGGCACTGAGAGCTGGGGGGACAAAGTGCTGGGAGGGACCCCCCAGCTCTGCCCCTGGCTCAGCACTGCCGGCTCGGGGGGGCACCCGGGCCAGGGGCTCAGGGACAGTGACGGGGGAGCCGGGGGAGGAGGGGGAGGCGCTTTGTCATAGGGGCCGGGGGCCGTGCAGCCCCGCCACCTCGGGCGTGAGGTGCGGGTTGTGGGTGCCCTTGGTCAGCATCCAGTCATTGAGGAAGGCCTGGGTGGCTTTGCGGTGTGCCAGGCGGTGCGTGATGGAGAACCCGGCATTACCCTCCAGCTGGGACAGGATCACCAGCACCTGCCTGCGGAGAGAGCGGTGGGCTCAGGGCAGTGGCCTCTGCTCTGGCAATCCCACCCTCTGCCCCAGGAATTCCACCCCTGCCCCAGCAATCCCACCCTCTGCCCTGGAAATCTCACCCCTGCCCCAGCAATCCCACCCTCTGCCCCAGCAATCCCATCCCTGCCCCAGCAATCCCACCCTCTGCCCCAGCAATCCCACTCCTGCCCCAGCAATCCCACCGCTGCCCACACCTCCCTCCCAGGCTCTGCCTCACTGCCAGCCCCCTGCCAGCCCCCAGGGCAGCCCCCTGACCCACCCCTGCCTACCCCGGACCTGTGCAGGGGGGGGACGCTGTCCTGTGTCTTGAGGCTGCCGCGCGTGGACACCACGTTGAAGCTGTCGGTGCAGTCGCACTGGACGTGCAGGTAGGACTTGGGGTGCCGGTTCTCCACCACCACGATGAGCCCTGCCCAGCCATGTGTCAGGTAGTAGCAGGTCATCCCTTCACGGCCCTGGGGAGGACAGCAGGGGAAGGCGATGAAGCCTCCAGGCACTCCTGCCCCTGAATCAAAACCCCTGGAGTGGCATCTTCCAGGCCAGCCAAAGGCTGCCCATCTGCTGGGCTGCCCCAGGGGGAAAAGGGGGTGGGCACCCCCGGGGTGGCAACCAGAACTGGTACAACCCTGCCACACTGAGGACACTGCAGGGCAGGGTGCAGGCTCTCACTGGCAGCATCACCCCCCTCCCCACTGCAGCCATGGGGGTCCAGTCCCCGCCCTGTGCCTCCCACCCACCTCGTGGCGCTCGCCCTTGTTCTCAGTCAGCAGGATGATGGCATCTGCCAGCGTGGTGGGCTGTGCCTCCACCTGCTCCACCATCACCAGGCGGGAGCTGTAGATGGCCAGGATGTAGCTGGAATAATCAGTGGCCGGTCGGCTGCTGGTGGGACTGGAAGCTGTGGAGACACCCGGGGGAAGGGGCGATCAGGGAGGCTGTCACCAAGCCCACAGTCCCCGGGAGCAGGGGGTGCTGCTGGCTCGCTGCACGCGCAGGCAACCTCCACCTCCAGCAAGGTCCCCACGATGAGGATCAAGGGTTTTGCCCCCTCTGCCTCCCCCAGGTGCCCTCCAGCCCCTCACCCTGGGTGGCAGGGCCAGCCAGGGCAGCGCTCCAGTGGTTGAAGGCACAGCACACCACGGCGTACTCGCCCGGCTCCAGCATCACGTCGCAGTTGACGAACTTCTTGACCGCTCGTTTGCTGTGGGCCATGAGCCGGCCCAGGCTCAGCTTGTTCCCACTGGTGAAGGTGGCCCGGAAAACCATGATGCACAGATCCAGCAGGTGGCTGTCCACCGTGTCTGACCGCCTGCAACGGAGGGAAGGGTCACATGTCACCCAGGCCACAGGAGGATTGCACATCCAAGGGAAGAGCCATCATCTCACTGCTCCAAAAATCCAGCCCCAGGAACTAGCTCAGGTTCAGGGGTTGGGTTCCAGCTAAAACATGAGCAGTTCCAAAGAGCTGGATGAAGTGCACGGTGATGGAAGCCCATCCCTGGGCTCTGTGATCCTGCAGGATGCTGTGTGGCAAGAGGGTGATGTGTTTGGGATCACCCCAAAGCCCTGAGAATCATGGAATCATTAAGGTTGGGAAAGCCCTCTGAGACCATCGAGTCCAACCATTCCCCTGGCAGTGTCAAGGCCACCACTAACCCATGTCCCCAAGTGCCACATACTCATGGCTTTTAAACTCCTCCAAAGATGGGGACTCCACCACTGCCCTAGGCCATGTGTGTCAATGCCTGACCACTGTTTCTGTGAAGAAATTTTCCCAATATCCATCTAAACCTCCCCTGGCACAGCTTGAGGCCATTTCCCCTCCTCCTTGTCCCTTGTTCCCTGGGAGTAGAGCCCAACCCCTCCTCGCTCCCCCCTCCTGTCAGGGAGTTGCAGAGAGTGAGAAGTTCCCCCCTGAGCCTCCTTTTCTCCAGGCTGAGCCCCCCCAGCTCACCTGCTGCCCTCCTGGAAGAGGGCAAACTCCAGGGCTGCACGTTCCAACACTGTCAGCGACGTCACTGTCACCGGCCCGCTGGCCTTGTTGGGGAACATGCCCTGCACACGCACCTCATGCCAGTCTGAATGGAGCTTGCAGATATCCACGGAGTCAAAATACCTGTGGGAAGCTGTGCTCAGCCCCAGGGGGGTACACGGCTCTGTTCCCACACCCCCGTGGGGTATATTGCTCTGTCTCCACACCCCAGCATGCTGCAGGTCGCTGCATCCCTGGGAATTCCCATTCCTGCCTGACCCAGTTGGCCCTGTGTCCCATTTTCTGTCCCTGCCCAGCTTCCCGCCCCACAGCCTGTGCCTACTTGATGAAGTCGCTGTACTCCATCCAGAAGACGCCCTCGCTGCTGCCGTGGGGCATCAGGTCGTGGCGCAGGGGCGCCGGCCAGTGCGGCCACTCGTCGGACCAGCTGCCGTTCCAGGAGAAGCGGCCCCAGGGATTCCGGAGCCGCAGTAACCTGGGGAAAGGGGGAAAACGGGGTTAGACACCCAGGAGGAATGGGGGACCCAGCCAGCCCCATGCAGAGGGTAGCCCACCCCTTCTGCCCCTGCCTCCCAGACCCCTCACAGCAACCCAGACCTAATTTGTCGCCCACATTGCTGCCCCAGATGTCCCTGTCCTGCTGCTCCCTCTGTCCTTCCCTGCCCTGCCAGGTGCTGTGGGGATGGGGTTCTGCTGAGTGACATGGCCGAAAATGGGGCTTCCTACAGCACCCTGGCTGTGGAGGCAGTTCCTGCTTCTATCCCTGCTCCCTCCAAAGATGAACAGGATGCCCTGACCACCTCGCTGAGCTGAGCGCTCCACTCAACCCTCTGTGTCTTGTGAACCATTCTACACCAGGATGTGGAGCCAGCACCAGACAAGGACAGCTCATGTGACAACAGAATCTTGTGACACCCCGGGATGGGACACTGAAGAGTCCCCGAGGTCTTGCCCAGCATGCCCTCAGTGCCCAGGGTTTCTGCTGGGGCTGTGGCAGGGGCACCTGTGCTCACCTGAAGCCCTGGACGTCCCTCACGTCCAGGATGGAGTAGGCGTGCCGAGGCCGCAGCCCCATGCTCTCGTAGGCCACGTCATCCACCTTCATGTTGCCTCCGCCACAGGACGCGCCCATGAGGAACCTGCACAGGGACAGCAAACCCTCGGTGTCCTGCCGGGCCTGGCACGGGGGGAAGCTCGTCCTTACCACTCCAGGCACAGGACAGCTTCCCCCCAAGGAAGCTCCTGGATGCTCCCTCTTCTCAATTACGCTGTAAACTCTGCAGGCAGTGCCCAGTTCTGGGCAGAGCTCCCTCCACCTGCCCCGTGCACACCGAGCCCAGGCTGTGTGTGCTGAGCTCTCCGTGGAGCTTTGCCCAAACCTCACCACGTCTCCGCCAGGCCCCAGGGTCTTTCCTGACAGAAAGCCACAGAGAAAGGCGGGTGGTCTATCTGGGCAGGGGTGAGGACAGACTGTTTGGGGCAGGAGGTCAGCACCAGTCAGGTTCTGGGGGGACACCACGTGCTGGGAGTTACCCACCTCCCATTTAGCCCCATACCTTGGCCAACTGCCCCAACCAACCCAACTGCCCTCCTGCCACAGTGATGAGCAGGAGCTCTCTGCTTTGGCTCTGTCCCCTCTAGGCTGGCTCTAGCCATGCCCAGGTGTGTCCAGCAAAGACAGGTGGGAAACACATGCAGGGTCACGCACTTCACAACACAAAAACACTCAAAGCAAAGCAAGCAGGCTCAGTGCCATTTCCAGACTCCTGCAGGAGAGCAGTGCGTGGGGAAGTTCCCCAGGATCTTCATTTCAGATGAGAATTACTCACAGGAGAGCGTCAAGGGGGAGTTCCACCAGTGCTCCAGACGAGTGGTGGGCTCCACCCCAAGTAATGCAGTAGCCCCTCTCCTCTGAGCCCCCTCAGACAAGAGCAGCCCCCCTCACCCCCCTGCTCCTGCCACAGCGCCCTCCTGCCTCGTCTTACCCAGCCTCCTTAGAACTCAGCATTTTGGCCCAGATGAGGTCAGTGTCAATGGGCTCCTCACGAGGGTTAGTGGAGCTGACCTGCAGCATCAGGCTCTCGCAGGGAGCCCCCGTGAGCGTGGCCAGGCCCTCGATGGCACGCCCGGCCTGGAGGGCGAAGTACGAACCGTGCAGCTTGGCCAGCGCCTTCTCGATGAGGGCGACCCACAGCTGCTTCCTCTGGGCCTGTGAGAGAGGCAGGGACACATCACACCCCGGCCACGACCTGGGAAAGCCCCTCTCACCCACCCCTGCCAGCCCTCCCGCTGCCACAGGAGACACAGAGGCAGGAGCAGCAAGGTCAAGCCACCAGGAGCTTGGCACCTTGGCCAAGGGTGAGCCCCTTCACTCTCTGCTCGGTGTTTTGTTTGCACAGCTCAATTCCCCTTGGCAAAAAGTTCTGGAGTGCACATCCAAGAGGCCCAGATGCTGACAGAGCTGCACCCAGGGGGGCCCAGCAGTCAGGCTGGCAGGGTGGGTGCCCACGGTGCAGGCCCTTCCATCTGCCTTCAACCTGGATTTAAAACAGTTCAATAATGGAAAAGGACACCAAGGCTGCCAGAGCTTCAGGAGTGCTTGGACAACGTTCTCAGGCACATGGTGGGACTGCTGGGGTGGCCTGTGCAGGGCCAGGAGTTGGACTCGTGATATTTGTGGGTCCCTTCCAACTCAGGAGATTCTATGATTCTAGGATATGGAGCACATCTGGAACAGCTGGAACTCTGCTGCAAACCCAAAACAATACCCCTTTGTCAAAGGAGATGGCCCAGAGCACATATGGTTGTGGGACTGATTAGATTTCACCCACGGAACAGACACTGCTTCAAGGACAAGCTCTAAAAACTTGGAGTAGCAAAGCCCTCCTCTCCAGCACAGGGAGTAATTACAAGCCCTAATTACAAGATGCAAGTTTTTTCCCAACAAATGGGGTTTGGTATCCGGTGCTTGGAGGTCAGCAGGGAAAATCACTGGGACATTGTGACTGTGTGTGACTCACAGGTGGCAGCCAAGAGCTGGCAGAGGAAAGGAGGGCAGTGAAGATTTCTTTCCGATGGATAAAGAGAGCTTACAAGTGCTTTTTGCTGGTTTTTGGGTCCCTCACTCAACAAAATCCATTTTGTTTATTTCTGCCTGAGCCGCAGCCAGGGAGCTCAGATTTTCTGAGCCTGATTTTCTTTTATTTTTAAAACTCTGTTTTTCCTTTTTTAGCCCCCACGTCCAGCTCACACAGCTGAACACTCAGCAGAAAAATCTCGGCACGATTCAGATGCCCCTGGAAACAGAGGTAAGGCAAGCCCAGCCCACGTGAAAACCTTCAATCTTTAAAAAAAAAACCCAAAGCAAACTTGAAATTCATAAGAGAGGAAAGATGGCTGGAAAACAAAAGAACCTAAGACAGGTAAATCTTATGTTCAAATAAAGAAATGCATCTGGATCCTCTCTGTCTGGGAGAGACAGAGTGTAGACACAGACTCCTTCTTCCCCTCTCCAAAGTTGCAGAGTCCTGTCCTGACACAATCTACACATGACACTGTTTGGGGCTGCGTGTCAAAAACCAGAGGACTGGGATTTGCAGAATGAAATCCAACCCAACAGTCCCCGGCTCCTCCTGACAGTGGCACTTTGTTTTCTTTGGCAGATTTTGCCGCCTGAGCTTCAATAAAGACGTTCTCAGTCTCCTTCATGGACGTGATCCCAGCAAGAGCCCCTGGGCCTGGCAGGCAGGGTGGGCACAGCTCGTGGTGACGTTCTGAAGGGGCTGAGGGAGCTCCGTTCACCCGAGCAGATCCCAGCCCGGTGTGCCCAGAGCAAGCGGGCACTGGGTCGGAACAGGCTGCTCCATGTGCCGTGCCCTCCCTCTCCACGGTCCCTCCCTGGCAAAGCCAAGCTGCCAGACGTCCCCGCAGAGGAAAGAAACAGCTTTCCCTCAGCCCCTCGCAGTGCAAAACACAGAGTAAAAGTGTTTTCCTTTTCTGTGAAGAGTAAGGACAGATTTCCCTGCAAGTGGAAGCGGCTGCGGTGGAGAGAGGAGTGAGGGACAAGCAACTGTGAATGAAACTTCTCCACTGCAGCCTGGAAAATGCCAGAAGGGATTTAAATAGATGTGTATTACGGCCTCAAATAGTTCAGCTGTCTTAAGAGCACAGCAAAGAGCAGGGTCGTGAGCTGCAAATAGAGTGCAAACCAGGCTCAGTACTGGGGCCTGCACTTGGGTCACACCAATCCCAGACAGCTCCAGGGTT